GACGAGGATGTTGCCATTAAGTGTTTTTTTTGCCGTTTTGAACTTCGACGACGAGGACATTGCCATTTAGTGTTTTTTTTGCCGTTTTGAACTAAAAGTGTGACCCAGGAGCAGTTTCCCCATTTTTTTTTATGGTACTCTTATCACCTTCTCCACGGTACGCACACAGGAAAAAAAAAAAAAAAAAAAAAAAAAAAGCACATATATTTGGACATACGACAATGACTGAACTGCCCGACAACAAAGTGTGCACTCCTCCAATGTGCGCATCACCCGGCGTGTGGCCCGCTCAAGCCGAACACTCGTTTTGCCACGGGGCATGGACACCCACGGGCAAACAAAAAAAGGCAAAAAAAAAAAGCGGGACATGATCTCAGATCTGGCCATCAACGTCGCATGGACCATTGCATCTAGACGGAAATAACAACAATGTTGTCGTATTGCCCGATCAAAATGACACAATAGCATCAATAAATGTCGTAGAAAGAACAGGAAAAGAAACTGCAAAAGAGATCCGACAACCACGGTCCCGAACCCGGTGTCTGTGTTGTCACCTGCAAAATATCACATTTCATGGACGCAGGACATTATTAGTATGCATGGATGTGTGATCCAATCAAGGGTCACATCCAAGCCGTCCTGGATTAGGACAAATACTAAGATAAACGGTGCTTTATCGACATCAGAGCAACCGAAAAAAAAAACAATAATAATGAATGTGCGATCCACTCGAGGGTCATATAAATGTAATGTTAGTTTTCTTTAAAATGCGTAAGAATGGCATGTGGCTGCGATGATTGCCCGCTGTCCACTCTATCGACCTTGGCGAGCATATCAGGGGGTCCGCGTGAAGGCGTCTGCGATCTTCGAAAGCGCACCACACAGTGCATTGCCGTTTGCCTCCATCCTGTCTGTCATGCGATCCATGACCGCAACTAAGGTCGCGTCAGATTCTTTTTGCGCTGCCGTAGACTCCTGGAATGCATCAGTCATCGCTGAAGTATTGTCCCGCACCGCCGCAGTGGCCTCTGCGATGGTCCTCTCCTTCGCCGTTTTCCTGCGTCTGCTCCAACTGTCGTGTGCTTCATTCGTGGTGCTGCTCTCGTTGCTGCCTTCTCCGCCTTCGCTCACCGTGAAGGGGACCCCGCCATCAGTGAGGTTGACGGGGCTGATGTTGGCGTCTTCACCGTACAGTCGCTCCATGAGGTCATACACCTCCCTCTTTATAGAATACCCCACCTTCCTCTCCCTCCTCTCGGTCGTGCAAAGTTCGAACCATTCTTCCTCACCAGACCTCAGTTGGAAGTCGTGAACTTTCCGAAAGGCGGTCATGACGTTTTCGAACTTCCGCTGGCAACTTCCCAGTGTCCGCAGGACCCCCTTCTCGGCCAGCCTTTCCGAAACGTCCGCCCACCTGGTCGGGTTGTTCTTGAACTTGCCCTTGATTTTCCCAGTCCGCCATTCCTGTTCGTCATCGTACTCCCGTTTGGTCTGCACAAGGACGAGGATCTGCTCGACTGACCACGTGTCTCTGCCCAGCTGGCAATCGCCCGATTCCTCCTGTGTTCCGCACGACGACAATTCCACGTCATCATCGACGTCGTCAGCCACCGCACTGCAGGAAGCCTCCACTTCCTCTGGTAAAACATGCTTCACAGGAGAGCAACCTTGCCCGCCTCTCCCCCCCCCGGTGACCCCGGAACTTTCGGCTTGCACGTCACTGGGGCTGGGAGGGGATTGTGCCACATGGCTGCCGCTGTTGCGAGCTGCTATCCCCTTCTTGACGGAGCTGGTGCGATGGATTCCCAGTCTTGGCAGAGCCGGCGGGAGCCCTCGAGGATGATGGAATCCCAGTCTTCATGGTGGTACTGACAACCCTTGTGCTTGATGGGATCACGGTCTTCGAGGCGCTCGCGGAAGCCCTTGTGTTTGTTGGAATCCCAGTCTTCGCGCCGCTCGCAGGAGCCCTCGCGCCTGCTGTGCCAGATGACCCGCCTGCCGTTCTTGGTCGCCCCCTTCCTGCAGAACGCGCTTCTACTTCTGGCGTGGAAGTAGCGGAACGTTTTGTTGCAACAACTATGGAGTCCCGTTGGCCAGGTGGGGTGCTTGCGATCGCCTGTGCATCGAATCCGGCAGATTCGCAGAAGCTTTCAATGTCAACAGCTTCGGGAAGAGACTCCATGTCGATGTACCCTACCTGGTTCTCCACCGAAGCCTCGCCACGGCTTGCCGTTCCCGTGCATAGAAGGTCCGAGAAAGGGACGTAAGCGCTCCACGTCAACGTCGATGATGGTGCTGCCACCTGTGGCTGAACACCCATCCCGGCGGCCAGGCCTGGCGGACACACACCGCCTTGGAGCGAAGCGAGGACGGCCTCGCCATGTCCACTGGCGAAGATGTCATCCTCGTAGCTATCGTCCGAAGACATGCTGCTTCGCCTCACAGGTATGGTGTCGCCAGTGACACACGGACTCCCCGCCGAGGAAAGGTACGACCACCCGTCATACCCGCCCGATTGGAAGGTCACCGACCTACTCGCCGCAATCCATGCCGTAAGCTGGATGATGGTCTACATGCTGATCCGCCATGGCCACATTCAGCAGAACAGGAGCAACAACACACTCCTCCTGACGCGGGGGAGCCATCAGGTCGAGCTCTGGTCGCGGCATGTTCCCGCCCCCAGCGCGGCGAGAGAGAGATTGGCCCCGCGCAGCACCACCTGACCGGCCCAATGCAAGAGTGAGCGGCTGGAACTCCATAGCGGTTAAACTCCGACGAGAGAGCTGGTACAGCCTCGCGATGACGTCCACAACGCGACGCAACGCAGCTTCGTGATAGTGGAGCTTCGTGTACCCGAATACGCCCTTCGCAATGTCGCCGCGATGCTGCACCGTGGAGCTATATGTGTGGCCCTCATTCCAAGTGACGTCTTGTATACTATCTCGGCGGCGTTTAACCAGCATGCGCAGCCCAACCTGATGTCGACCGTCCATGGGATGCTGCGGATGCTCTTCACGGATTGGCAGTGGCCCCGAAGCTGTAGGCGGGGGAAGCACAAGGCACCCATGAGTGGTGGATGGCGGGAACGAGATGTGCAGGATGCAGACGGGGCGGGGAATGGAAGCCATATGGCGGCCGCAGGAGCGGGGTTAGATGGAAGGTCTGCGGTGGGAAGGTGGGTACCCGGCTTGAGAGCCGACAAACCACTCCACGACGACCGCACCGTGCCATCGCCACGATGTGCGCCACACCGCTGTCGTTTTCGTGTTGACGTATCCCAGCCATGGCGGAGGCGGCGCGCTGGGCGATGGGAGGAACACGTGCGTGAAACGCCGTGAGCTGCCCGCACCGCTCCGTGGTGCGCACATTGCGGTTGCTGAGCGGAAGCCTTCCTCAGTTTCAATGCACCGAACCGCAAAATGGCTTGTATACATGCGTTCTGAGGGTGCGGCCGTGTTCGGGGGAACGGTAGTATGGGCCTGCTGGCGGAGGCCGTGCTGAGCGGAAGCCTTCCTCACTGTCAATGCACCGAACCGCAAAGATGGCTCGTATACATGCGTTATCAGGGTGAGGCCGTGTTCGGGGGAACGGTAGTATGCGCCTGCTGGCAGAGGCCGTGGTCCCACACGGGCCCGACCGCCTCTCGAAGATGGTGCATTTTCGAGAGTTGCTCTCGAGATTGCGCATTTCTCCTTCTGCGCACTACCGTCCAAACACGGCCTGACAGCTCTCGAAACGGAGCACGACCTCGAGCGCCGACGGGAGGTATCACGAAATTCACGAAGCTGCAGGCTGGGAGAAAACATCTTTTCGAGAAGGCCCTCGAAACCGGCCTTTTGACAGCTCTCGAAAAAATACGAGGGTTTTTTTTTCGCGAGGCTGTGTGGCGATGCCCAACTCTCGAATTTTTGAGATTCGAGAGTGGTGTGGCGAGGCCCTCTCTCTCTCTCTCTCACACACACACACACACACACACACACACAGTAAAAAAGTGTGGCAGTGTATATTTCCATATTCTGTCTGAAGATTCATTCCGAGTTTGCTCATCCTATAGATGGAAATAGCCTCTGGCTATCCTTACAGCATACTGATACTGGCACCTTTTGGGACAAACTCTGGGACTTGGGGCGACCCACAACATTTAAGCCGTCGACCCTAACAGCCTCAGCCCCCCTTCCGGGCGTGGCAAATAAACCAATCTATACCCAAACCCGGGCTCCACATCAACAGCGGAAAGCCCCTGGCTGCGCCACCACGCTTGGCGTGGTCTAACAGTAGACTCCCCATAAACCCCGTTAGGACTCGTCGACATTTCCACAAAACAAAAAGGATGCCCCGCTACACGACAAAGTGCAACGGGGTAAGACGCAGCCTTTGGCTGCGAACTTCGGCTGCGAACTTCAAATACGGGCACGTCCGGGCGAATCGGTCCGCAATCACGTCCAGAGTCTAGTAGGAAAAGTCGTACTGTGAACATGCCCCGAGTATTCCCCGACCCGAATCATAGCAAGAATCAGAGCGAGCAACGCTAATTGTGCCGGGTTCGTTAGCAAGCAATCTTCACTCGAATAGAACGCCCGTTCATTATATATTTGGCGGACCGATATCGGTCCAGATGCGGTGATAACCACCGGACCGGGCGTACAATTCGGGTGAAGACGGGGGCGGGGTTGGCGACTGGCAGGTCGGTGGTCTCAGGGATGGGATTGGTGGGGTTAGAGAGGGGGTAGGCCTGGCTACAGGACCGCGGCACATGATGTGTGTGATGTAAGGGGCGGCCTGTTTTTCGTTTGGCTTGGGTGGGCACAGACGGTCTCAAGGAAGGGTGAAGGGAGGGTGAAGGGAGGGGTAAGGGGTTGAACAGTAAGTACCCTTGTCAAGACCGGGGAGAACGGGCATGGTGGGAGAAGGGAGGGGGAAGGGGTTGGACAATACCCTTGTCAAGACCGCGGAGAACGGGCATGGTGGGCGAAGGGAGGCGACGAGTGTGCATGCGGCGCGCAATGCGCGGTGGCAGAAGAGGGTCGAGAGGAGTCCACGTGTCGGACGACGCAGCCTCCACCGCACGTGGGATCGGACGGATGTGGAGATGAATGACACGTGGCAGCGGGAGGAGGATGGTGAAGGGAAGGTTGCCGGGAGAAAGGACGTCGCAGTGAGTTGAAAGCCGGTTGTGGCGGCGCATCAGACCTCCCATCATTGTAAGGATCGGGGCAATTTACTTCTGTAATTTGTCGAACATGCAGCAGATCGAGGGAGGAGCTGCGGTAAGGAGGGAGAGGAGGGAGGTCTGGGCGTGTGGAGGAGAACAAAAGAAGACGAGAAGAGGCAGGAGAGCGACACGTGGGCTTGGGTCTTGATCTATCTGTCCAGTTGAATTGAGGGAGGTTGCTGTCCGTCCCAGAGGAGGTCGTTTTCCGCAACAGAGGGATGCATGGGATGTGACGGAGAGAACGAGAGAGAGAGAGAGAGAGAGAGAGAGAGAGAGAGAGAGAGAGAGAGAGAGAGAGAGAGAGAGAGAGAGAGAGAGAGAG